AATATATATTGTTATATAAATATACAAATTCTTAGCGCTACAATACCTTGAACTGAATTATGATACATAAATAGTGTACATTTTATCTTAAATTTAAGGAAATTCGCATAACATTTCACTGCGAAATAATGTCACAAAGCATAGAACCCAGATCGAATGTTGAATTCCGTTTCGAATTGGGTAAAAAAGTTGAAGAGTTCAGTATTGCAAGCACATGTTAAAATTTCCGGAAAGAATCTGTCAAATACGTCAGCAATTGTAACTGATGATAAAAGATGATGGTTTCAAGCCAAAATTACCAGAAGAAATTACCAGAAGGAAAAGTAAATAACTTTTTCAGAAGAATAAAACTAAGACATTGCAGATATTTTTTCTCAGAAGATCAGACTGTGAATGTATTGTATTGCAGAACTAAGGGTTCTTTCAGGTCTTCAAGGATTGTGGATCAAAAATATTTATTGTTCGGTTGGGTATCATTAGACAAAGCTTTAATAACGTAAACTTTAAACCAAAAGCAAATCTTATTAATCTTATAATTTCAACTTATTCATCTGATTTAAATCGATGCGTCTACTGGATATTCCACAAATCGAAATTGACCCTGAAAGAAAATCAATACTATTTCAATACTATTCCATTTATCATCGTATTATCGGATCTCTTCGTTTTCTATTCTAAATCTGATAATTCACCTGATGATTTAAATATTTCTTAATAGCTATACCATAGTTAAATTCTGTTTATGTATTTAAATAAAAAACAAGTTCAAGCCAAATTATTATATACAAATTAAGTATTTAATGATTCAAACTTGAAATTGAAATGAAAAGCATTTATGCTATTAAATACCAACTGGTAGCTGTGAAAGCACATTTATATCTATTAAAAACAGCATATTTAGTTGCGTTTAATATTTAAATTAAATACTTTAACCCTTTTTTGCATCTAGAATATTTAAAATTTTAAACAAATGAAAAGGGTTTCCCTAGAACCTCAATGTACAATGAACCACGTACAAAGAAAGCCTTCAGTTTGCTCAAAGCCCTTTCCACACACTGCTGTGTATGTTAATAGCCTGTTTTATGAAAAATTAAGCAAGGAGTGCTTAAACAAATTTTCAGCATGTTGGCTCAGAACTCTTCTGTCTGCCAACTATACTCTTATACTCGTATATTCGTATACTCGTACAAAAACCGCACGGAAATTATGCTAAAATTATGGGAACTTCAAAGCAACAACTTGCAACAGATTATACTCGTACCTAAGATTGCTAGACTCGCAAGTGTACACGACGCTACATAAGTTATCTGAAACGTGCCGAAAATATTGTTGTGAAATTACTGGCAGACTCTGGTAGTCAGAGTGCCCGAAATTTATATAGCACGTCTTTGTCGCTCCTCAGGAACAAATGTACATTAATGACGGTTGCAGAAGTTTTCGTAGGAAGTCAGAGCAAGTCACACTGCCAAGTGTTTGTAGTTAAAATTCCATTTTAGTTTCTGCAGGTTGGTCCGTCTGGCTGGCTTATGTTGTAAAATTAAATTTTAAATCAATTTGCTGGAAGTATTTTGTCGTGTGCTCGTTATATTTTCCTTTATGAATTAACATCATAAAAAACTGAAAGTAGCTAAATAAAACTAAATATTTTTTGTTTTTTTTGCTGGTAGCGTTTTTTGTTTTTCAACTCCAAATAATTAAAAATTATTAATTTATAAACCATTTTCTAATAGTTTTCTAACATGAAAACAACATTTTTTGTTTATAATTTTTAAGACTACAAGTATCAACAGTTGAACTCCTTGGAATACTTGACTATAAATAAATTTAAATTTGAAGTATTTTGAAATGAAATTGATTTAATGTTAGTTACCAGATATAGATATATAAACATATTAGAAAGATTTTTAATGTGATTGATACTAATAAATTAAGATACAAAAAAGAATTATAGAGCATGGCATAAAAGTGAAAAAATTGTGTTAAAATCTATTTGTACTATTTTATTTCAAAAGCTACCCTAATAGGTTAGAGCTTCATCTCCTTGTTTGTAGATCAGCTTGCGCCTCCTTTGATTCCGCTTACCAGGAACAAAATGGGTGTAAAACCTATTTATACTGATTTGTTTCAAAATTTATCCTAATAGGTCACAGCTTCATCTCATTGGTGGTAGATCAGCTTGCGCTTCCATTGATTCCGCTTACCAGGAACAAAATGGGTGTAAAACCTATTTATACTGATTTGTTTCAAAATCTACCCTAATAGGTCACAGCTTCAACTCCTTGGTGGTAGATCAGCTTGCGCTTCCATTGATTCCGCTTACCAGGAACATATGTTTTTTAAAAATGGGTGTAAAACCTATTTATACTGATTTGTTTCAAAATCTACCCTAATAGGTCAGAGCTTCATCTCCTTGTTGGTAGATCAGCTTGCGCCTCCATTGATTCCGCTCACCAGGAACATATGTTTTTTAAAAATGGTTGTGCGGTTTGCTAATATTAAATGAAAAACTTTATTTTATAATAATGTTGGCTGTTTAATGGTTAATGGTTAAATATTATTCTATCAATTAAGTTGGCATATTTTTTTAGGTGGAGAAATTATTTTAAATTAAAATACAAATTAATTAGCAAATTAATTCTGAACTTTGAGTAATTTGGAATTTTATAATATTTAAAACCTCATAAATAGTTAAAAAAGCTTATAAATTTATTAATTACTAAATAAATGAAAACATTGCATTTTGAAACTATTTGTGGTTTTATTCTCTGAAATATTTAAATTAAATAAAATCCTTAGTTTTTAAATATTCACAAATTTGCAATTTTAAATGTTTGATTTAACAGGATTTAAATAAATAAATGGTTGGTATGTGCCATACAACCCGACAAAAAAATCAAATAAAACAATTTGTATTTCTATTAGAAGAATCGTTGCGAATCGTTAAGTATCTTATGTCCACCCACCCCATCAATTAAATCAGTTATGATAAATAAGAGGAAAAAAAATTTAAAGAAAACAAAAATTAACTTCATTGCCTTATGCGATTCTCTAGATCTACAATAGAAAAAGAGCTCTATTTGTAGTAAACCAAATTCTCTTTATTAAACGTTAAACAGATCATATCCAGATTGCCCTAATAGCAAGAAGTAGTACAACTACAGCATTCCCTTTTTTTTGGTCTAAAAAAACACTTTAAAAAATACTGGAATATATGTTTCTGGAATATAGATGCCTACTACAGAGTCTACATAGCGGTTTAACCATTTAGTAAATACCATTTGTCCAAACCATTTAGTATCAAAAAGGACCAATGGATATATGTGTGACTTACGACCAGCCAGATTAATCTAAGTTACGTTATTCCTATTTCAGTACTTTCTCTTCTATGCTTTGTTGGTGAGATTTTTTTATTTAAGATAACAAATACTTAATAATAATAATTAACAATTAAATAAATATTAAATAATCAAACTTCAGAAAAATGTGCGAACATGAAAGTCAAGTGCGGATTTGGGTCAGTTAATTAAGGTGTGCTGACACTGACTTTCAAATTTGGTAGGGCATGAGTTCGATTCCTGGTACTTGCAGCCTCAAAAAATTATTTAGAAATAATTAAGACAAGAATTATTTCCAAGACCACTGATGATGGATATTTTGCAGTAATCGAAACAGCTGTATGGTCAGCTAAAAATTCAGTTAATTAAAATAATATAAAAATGAGTTTTTGTTGTTGTAGTTCACTACTTTTCGAGAAATCTCTATATAATTATTAATTGAAATACAAGTTTCGGTCCTTCAAACTGTCATTACTTTGTTTTTAATTCTTTACTTTATGAAAATATTTTTGCCAATCCGTCTTCCAGTTCCAAACATTACCATTCATTTGTCTTTTCGACGAATAATAATTGATAGGGTTTTATCAAAATTGGACATATATTTTTCACACGTATCCACATCATATATGTATGTCTATATAAATATATATATATACTTAAATATGTATATATTTGTGGATATGAAAATGTTTTGGGGATGCCTTCCTATGAGAAGGAAATAAAACACAAATCAACTTTTTCTCTTTATTCGCATCCTCACCTCTATTTTTTAATGGAACAGAACCTTTTTGAACTCTCGGATATCGTAATTTAAGCACAAGTGGACCTTCATCATACTTTACTGTACGCTTAAAAAGCATTAAGCTAACCATTAAAGGCTAGTTTTATGGTTCTTACCAAAACCATAAAAGTCAACATAAAAACCCTTAACAATATTAAACAGATAAAAAGTTTATTAGAGCACATAAAAGTCAACCTCTCCGGAAAAGAAGAAGAAATCCAAAACTGCCACGGAAGTGGGAAAGGTAGGAGGTTCACGTGTTTTGCAGCACTTGCGTGTGAAAACTACAAATGCATATGGATTTGAATACACACACGAGTTTTGCTTACGTGCGAGTATGAGTAGAAGTAGGAGTTGAGTGCGAGAAATGAGAAGTGTGGCGTGTGGCGTGTGGAGTGCTTTGTGGTCGCGTGCTACAACTGTGAGCGCGTAGTTATTTCGAGCTTTTAATAGCTTCGTTTCTATTGTTGTTGCTGTTGTTGCTGTTGTTGTGTGTGTAATTGTAGTCGCTTTTTTTATTACAGTTGCTAAATTTTGCTAATGACGCGAAAATTTTAAGTCACGTTTCTTAGTGCCGCGAACAACAAACAACCAACATTATTGCTCTTGTGTTGTTATTGTCATTTAAAATGCTGGCACGTTCCAGACTTTACATATGCACGCCACTAATTTATGAGAGTATGCGAGCTTAGACACACATACATACACCTTTTCATCGAGAATGAAAATTTCATTCACACACGATGAAAATCTTAATTTCTTCTATCCTTTGCGGTTTAGAATGCAATTCTAAAATTTTCGTTTTGGATTAATTTTCTCAAGAAAAGTCTACACCAGTTTCATAACTGAAATAATTTTCCTATATTTTCTTCTTTCAGCCACATGTCCGCCATCATATTTCAAATGCAACGACGGCCCTTGTATACCAATGCGCTGGAAATGTGATTCTAAACGCGACTGTGTGGATGGTTCCGATGAGCTGCACGATTGCGGTAAGTTCGGTTATAGAAGTATACTACTAGAAAGTTCATTATGTGATAAGCCACGTCTTACTGAGGCTGTTATGTTCATATATGAAAAAAGTAATATTATGTTGAGCCTTTTTCAAGTTAGTGCATTTGGGCACTTTTACTGTTTGATAGCTGGGGGTTTTCTGCAGAGTCCCACCCATGTCACTGACTAATTTGTGTATCCTCATAAGCGGAAAAATAATAAAGATGTTAAAAAAGACAAATACACTTTTTTTCGTATTTGGTTTATCATTTCTTATGACAGTTGTGTCTATAATAAATCTGAATCGATATGCATACATTTTGAAAAAGTACTACATGCTATTCACATTCAACATATACTCAATTTAAATAAATGGCTTTGCAAAAAGATAAAAAACCTGAGTTCCGAGTTCAGATATAGGTAATCGGTTATAAGTTTTAGTCATTTCAACGAATATATAACGAATATTTCTTTTTCGAAAAGTATATTATACTTATATTTTCAAAATTTTATTCAAAAACAGTGTTCTAAACTCTTGGAATAAATTCTATCAATATCAATAAAAGTTATGTGTTTGGACATCTAAACGTCAGCTATTCTTTGGGTCAAAACACCCGGTTAAAAAAAAAGCAACACCACGTTGAGTGAAAGTATGAATGCTAACATTCCTACTGCGTAACTTTAATTGTTAACCACAACTAAAACGATACTCCCTGTCACCTCTGTTAGGGTAATAACCGCTTGTTACTAATTAAACTCCAAAAAGTTACAGGGTGGTCGCCTTTTTACGATAGGCATGCCTGATTTCGAGAATATTCTAACCCCTATTCCGAATTGCGGTTGACACAGAGAAATAAACGTAATACAGAAAAAAACTCACAAAAACTAAAAGACAAGTAGATTTGTCTCGTATCGCTGATAAAAAAATCTACATTTTATAGGGCCTTGATGCTTTTTTACTTTTAAATAAACTTCTTATAAATATAATATATTTTTATGAAATTACGTAAGTAAGATAGCTGGACAAAGGTTGAACCCGTTGAATTAATTATAAACATTTTCTTCCTCTTCCTTGGATGAAAGCGATCATAAGCTACAGTAGTTGTGATCATGCAAGTACAGCGTTAATGTTTAAAGAATATAAAATGCAAAATAGGTATAAATATATTTTTAACACTGTTTTCAGGCCAGAAGGGATCTACATAAGAATAAATTTCCGTCTATATGTGGTAAACTGGTGAGCAAATAAAAAGAATATTACATCGAAGAATCGAGAACTTCTACACTAAACTGCCTGTAAATACAAAAACCCATACATATTATTTTGATAATTTTGCAAATCATATAGACCATCTATTCGTTATGAAATACTTTTTTGTGCACTTTTAGGAAGTGACAACCGCCGAATATGCTCCCGTTGGCTACGCCCATACTGCTTATGTCTGTTTCATTATATGTGATAGTGGATCATTAATAAATCTGAATATTATAGAAAGGCTATTTATTATTCCCTAAAAGAACTATTTCTAATTTTGTTTAACAATTATTTTTGAATTAGTCAAGAGTTACATCTGTATATTTAAATTTTTAAATAGATGTGATTTTATCTTAGTTAGATATTTTTGATAATAGAACCATTCTAAAACGGTATAGTATCCTGTTGTAATTTTTGAAATTTATTTTTATTAAGTCAATTATGAGTTCATCAGTTACAAAACATTTGTATTTTGATTAAATACTATTTATTTACTAAAAAAAATTCTACACTTATTAATTGAAAAATTCTACACTTATTTTATTTTTAGTTATTGTTTAGACATTTTTATTAAAAGGAATCTACTTCTGTCGTCTTTCCCTTCGTCTTTCGGCACTAACTTGTGGTAATTGAAATATTTCATCAAGTGTCACATGTCTACGTTTTCATTGAAATTAATTATATGAGACGACAATGCCTTCACGACATGGCATCAGGGCATAGTAACACATCACATCAGTTCGCATTGCATCGATATTGCCTATTGTCCACCCCACAGCCTAAATTGAAATAAATTAAGCTGGAGACATCGTTCAGTTTGTTCAGTTCATTCAGTTTGCTCTGTCAACAGTGCACTGACGAATGAATGCATTTATGGAAAAATTTGAAAACTTTTATCTTGGCAGGTTATTCGTTAAGTTAAATTGTGCATTGCTACCGCAATTACAACCCATGGAATTTATAATTTTATTTTATTTGATTGTAAAGCCTCTCTATTCCCATGCACTAAGGTGCTCTACATTGATTCCATTTATAGACAACGTAGCGGACTTTTGAACTTGTCCCGTTCATTTTCAGACGAATGTAAATAAGCGAATGTGAACTTTATTTGCAATGTTATGAATACCAGTGAACTCTTTCAACCCATCATGTTGGAATAATTCTATAAATTCATTTGCTATCCATTTGATTTATCTTGAGAAACATCGATTGTTGAAATTAATAATTTATTTGAAATCTACATTATTAATTTTTCATTTCGATTTATGATGAGTATCGTAATTTACATCTCATATTGAAAACTATAATAAGAATATCGAAAATTTACATTGTGTCTGATATTTAATGAAATTATATTAAATCATATTTAAAAAAACGTTTAAAGTAATACATTAACTAAGATTATCCTATTTTATAAATCTACGTTCCTTCACAGTAGGTTATCTGTCTGGTCATTTTAAACTGTCTGGTCATATTGTCTGAGGTAACAGAATATTATTCGAATTTTAGTTAAATTTTTTGTAACCGTCAGGGTGCTTTGTAACCGTTTGGGTGCTAGAAGGAATATTTTTGACCATCGGCTGATATTAGGAACGTCTTAAGAGAGATAGTGGAATTTCTACCTTTCATTCGAAAAACTGGATAGGTTCTAATAAGCTAGAGTTATTTGCTAGCATAAATATGTACTATTGATGTAGTGGTTTGCTTCACTTTTCTAATCTAAATCGTGATTAAATAAAAACTTTGGTTTGTTTTTACTTTAACATAAACGTTGGTTAATAAGTTTTTTTTTAAATGATTTAATCAAAGTGATTTTTTCCAGAAATTTTTTAGAAAACGTTCTTTTCAATTGAAATACTAATACCAATACATAAATCTAGACTTATATCAGCCATTATTTATTTCATGGTCTTGCTGACCTTTGAAAATAGATCTGAGCTTCTTTCAAAATTGCACGATCATTAAACTTTTTTTTTAAAAATTGATTGTATCACAAGATGTGAGGCATGTTTTTGGAGCCTCTATCGTCCAAGTGGAAATTATCTAATCCATGCTATAAAAAATCAGTAATTATGTTTCTGTAGCGTTATTTATCGGCGATAACTGTAACGCCATAAAGTATAGTAGCCCATAAAGTACATTGATCCGCTTGTTTGTATGAAATGTGTTGTATGGACAGTAGTGAAGGTTTTTTTTCCCTCCCAAGTGTGACAATTTTGATTACTTACTAAGGCATTAAAGCAGAGCTTAGGTTCACAGCTAAACATGATTCTATATGCTATCGCCGTAAAGCTCAGTTTGCAAAATTTCTATACAATAAACCATCATTTAGTTGAAATTCCTAAATCTGAATATTACATGCCTCAAATTAATATCTTTATAAATAATGTTTGGTATTTGATAACCAAATAAAAGTACGAGTTCCATAGAACGTTGCTAATTGATTGCTTTTGTTTTTATTTAAATGGACTCTTAATCCATCATTCCATTTCAATTCTTCGATGCATTGTAAATAGTTAGCTCTACGCGGATTATATATACCATATATACCATAAATATCGTAAAATATATTAAACTTAAATATTTCTCACAGATAGTTTTAAAACGCTAATAATCTCGTCATCTTTGCAGTGATGATGGTTTTGAGGATAGTTCTGAGGAAGACTTTGCAAATTTCTTCACTTTCTGTCTATTGTAAGTCCTGCACCATGTCGACTAAAGTCCTTAAATAAAACTGAAAAATAATTATTAATTTTAGGAAAGCTTTTTATATATTTTGTATAGTTATATACAAATATTTTAATACTTTGGAGCAATAAAGATTTAGGTAATCTATTTGAAAATGGTGAAAATGTTCACACAGTTCTAATGGGAATACCTGAGAATTGTACTTGTACTTCCCATTAAGTTTGCGCAACAACATTAATTTTAAAATAGTAAACTTTTTTGCTATTTTACATCAAAATTATTTGCTCTTGTTGGTTTGATTGACATTTGTTGGAAGTACAGACTTCTCCTGTTAAGTGCAAAATGTACAAACTTTACTCATAAACAATTCAAACATGCCACCAGTTACTTAGAGCGGTGGAAGGAGAGTCTCACGGCTACATTAGAAAATTAAAAATGTTCCGGTCTTAGTTGGATTTACACTTGCTTGCATTTGAGACATTATGTTGTAAATGATCACTTAAATTTTAAAATTATTTAAAAGATTCGAAGTTGTTCCTTTTTGGTGCTGTGCAAACGCTGCACAGCATACCAAATAAATACAAATACAAAGAAACTGGAAAAATGAAATACTATATTCTTTATTGGTGTCTAAAGACTTCATAGAATGCTGGAGCGTTAAATGGATGCAAATAACAGACGATTCCCCAGTTGAGTTTGAGCTCCCGGGAAGCTATAAACATGCAATCTCATTTACATATTGTCTTGACGAAGTTATGAGTGTGCCCTTAAGTTCTTACGTTTTGAGTATCATAAATATCTCAGAAAACATAAAATTTCTACAGTTTTAGTTTTTATTCTTTTGGAAATGTGTTCCAATAATCATAATAACAATTTTAAAACAAAAATAAAAAAAAACGACTTAAGAAGCGTGACATTTCATTTGGCACAAGAGATTCGCTTGAAGTTATTTTATTGGAAATATATCTTAGTCAACTTACAAAAACATTGAAGTATGAATTAAAATTAGAGTTTGGGTTTAAATTCTATTGATTTTAGGAAAACGTATTCACACGATAAAATTGTAATCCTTTATTAAAATTAACTAGATTTTCTTAATAATAAGATTTCTATTTACCATAATATAGACAAAATATACCAAATATATATATATATACTACTTAACTTACTTGATGACTACTTAACTTGATGAGAATTATACGACACACCTCTAAAAACTTAGAGGAGATAGCCTGTAACCAAAAAGTGCTCAAAATTCGCACTTAAAAAGCTGTCATGTAAAATTGTTTCTTTTGTAAAAAGTATGATGCTGTTCTTCGCTCAATACCTGATACCTGCAACAAAGAATATTTCTCTAGTTTTCCTTTTGCAACTACAATGATATCGTGGCAAATAGTATAGATAATAATGGGTTGGTAAGATACAGTACTATTATATAGGTTCATAGTATTATTCATATTAACTCCTATATCCTTCAGTAAACGCATTAATAGACTAAAAATAACTGTAGAGGTAGAGCGTGACTAGCAAAGAGAACAACCCTTCCAAACATAACAAGGCAACTCTGTATGAAAACATGTCACAAAAGTCAAACCCTATTAAGTTTAACAAGAAATAATGTCAATCTGTTTATGTTTGTTATTATAGATTGTTGTTTGAAAGATATATACGTGACCATATTGAGTACTCCAATAAGAACTTCTGTAGAAACTGTCAGAATTATCACAAAAAACAAACGATTAAACTTTTGTTGTGGCGATGTTTGGCTTTCTTCAGACAAGGAATAATTTTTATATTAGAAAATTAGACTAAAAGTTGCAATCTTCCGATTGAAAAATTATATGAATCCCAAGACTTTCTATATTCGAGGCAGTCTAAATAGTAATTATAAATAAAACAAGGAAGATAATGAATCACTTTGTAAACATAATACACTAATTTGACACTATTTTTTAACTTGGACTCATCATCCGCAATTATATGTTATATGAATCAGAACTTCGAATCGGACATTTTTGATTCCATGACAAAAGACGATTAACAAAAAGAACCAAATTAAATCTGAAAAGTTCTTTAAAATTGACTTGACTCCAGATACTTTTTAATCGGAAAGCGTTGTTTTTCGTCATCGTAAAGTCTTGATTTCTTGTATTCCATTTGTTTCGTTTCGTTAAAAATTTATACGTATATAAATAAATTTATACGTATAAGTATAAATTTATACGTATATAAATACTTATTTATAATATAAATATAAAATTATTAAAGATATAATGCATTCCACTAAATTGTAAATGTGCAGAATATATTGCATATAGGAATATTTAAGTTAAATTACGAGATATTCAAGTATCATAAAAGCACAGTATTTTAATCTGTTTCTTATTTCTCTTCGTTTCAGCGAATGCATCCAAGTGTAATGAGGGTCAATTTCAGTGCGAAAAGAGTCAGAAGTGTATTCCCAAAAATTGGTTTTGCGATGGTGAATTAGACTGTGGCATTTCTGATAATTCGGATGAAAAAAATTGTAAGTAACATCGCACTCTAAGAAGAACTTTCAACTTAAAATACTTTATTCAAAATGCCGAAAAATCTAACTTAATACTTTGCCTGATTTTCTTCCGTCCACATCTTTTCAAGTCGTATTATCTTTATTTTATATAGAATAACTTTCAGTTATTTTCATTGAGTTTAATTTTCCAAATATTGTGTCATCCAAAACTTTTAATATACTTTCGCAACTACTACATTTGCATTTGCAGGTCCCTCGGATACTGTTAAATGTTTATCCTACCAAAGCGAGTGCAAAAATGGTGTCTGTCTGGATATTTCGCGTTTCTGTGATGGTGTCTGGGACTGTGATAATGATGAGTTAAATTGTGGTAAGGAAATGCAAACATTCCCACATTTTAACATAAATTCGCCATATTCTATAAGTAACTGTGGCGATAAGTAACTGTGTATTTGCTCTGTTTTTCACTACAGAAACTCAAGATGCCAAATGTGCCAATTTAAATTGTTCCTTCAACTGCAAACTAACGCCGCAAGGTCCAACTTGTTATTGTCCACCTGGGCAAGAACCTGTCAACGGTACACAATGTGTCGATTATGATGAGTGCTCCGTTGAGGGAATGTGCGACCAGTTCTGCCATAATACGCCAGGTTCATACGAATGCTCTTGTGCCACAGGTTATCTAAAACAAAAGAATCGTTGCTTCGCCATAAATGGTAAGTTAAGCCAACTTTTTGAATGTATGTATGCATGTTAATATGTGTATGTATGTGTGCGTGTAAGTATGTCTACTATATATTGCATAATTTTGCCTGCAGGCACTTAACATTAGCTACCTATACTGCAGTGATTCGCTAATTTCTGTAATATTTTTAGTGCCCAAAACGGAGAATGCTTCACTGGTATTCGTAACTCAGTCGGACGTGCGTCGTGTAAACACAACCGGCGAGTTGTTAGGACACTTTGAGTCACCCGATGTATCCGCCATTGAAATTTGGCATCGTAATCGCACTCTCTGCGCCATGTACTCCAGTGCTTGGACGACTATTTATATGAAATGTCATCGCATCGATGATTTAAGCGTGAGCTGGACAATGCCACTACCTGAAATAATTACTTGTACGCATTGTAAGTACACAATAAAAAGCAATGAAAACAAAGTATCCTTTTGTAGTCATAGTCATTGCTGGACCTTTTAAATGTGCATTGCTTATTGTTTTATTTTTGTAGCCATCGATAAATTACGTTTGGACTGGATATCGGGAAATTGGTATTTCATAAGTAATGAGCCTGGTTTGATGTTCATGTGCACGAATAACATGCAATATTGCAGCGTTATATTGGAGGAGGTGAATAGTCCCTCCTCCATGGTATTGGATCCCACTAAAGGGTAAAACATAAGAAATGCTTTTGCAAAAAAACCAACAAAAGCAAGCTTTTGTCGTGGTTGTTGCGGTTGCAGTCATGTTTAATTTTTTAATTGTATCATTATTTTTGCTTGCAGGTTCATTTTCTTTACCGAGTGGAGTCCAAGCTTGTCACGTGCCAATCTTGATGGTAGCAACCGTACGGTGATAGTATCAACACAAATTTTCTATCCGAGCCGTGTGACATTGGATCTGCCCAATGAACATGTCTATTGGATTGATATTTATAAGGATTTTATTGAGCGCACTGATTACGGAGGACACAAGCGCTGGTCGCTAAAGAAAACTGCAGATGTGAGTACCTTTAAAAAGGTAGCAAAAGGTAGCAATGACTGCCTGCAAGTGTGATTAAATAGCCTCAAGTAGAAGGCATGTACTTTTATTGTCGACAAATAGTAAAGGTGTTATAGCTTTTTACTGATATGAAGTCGTCGATGCAATGGAGTAAATTTATTATAAGATTTCGCAACAGTGATTTCATTGTTGTTGTTTGCTACAAGATGTATGAGTGAATTTTAATTATTAGTGTAGCACGTTTGGCGCGTGGGCATTTTAGATGAAATCCATGCACTGCTGAGTGTTGAACTGAATTTTTAATCAAACGAGCAACGTGCCGTATAAGTAACCATTACTACTTTGAGTCGTAATAATATTCACTTCTGTCCGCTTTTGATTGTAAATTCATTTTTTCAGAATTTTGAAATTGTTGACTGCCTCGTTTCGTTTCGTTTCGTTATTTAAAAGTTTTTTTCTTGCTCTGTTTTTCTCTTCGTTTCAGACACATATTCCTGTTAAGTCCCTACATGCGATTGAAGTTTTCGAGAATACTGTGTACATTGCCCCTTGGACTGATAGTGTGATAATAACCATGAACAAATTTACCCTTAAGGCTGAACAAATCGTTAAAAATGTTAAACGCCCGTACGATTTCAGAATATTCCACCGTCAGAAGCAACCAGAGGGTAAGTTTACAGTGTGCAAACACTAACTTAAACAAACAAAACCACTAGATACATCTATATTAAATTACATATTTCTATTGTACGGAGAATTAGCAGTTGCTTTTACATAATTCATATTGCTAGGAAAAAACTTGATTTGTACAATGTGAGACTATTGCAAGGAATGGCAAGGAATAGTATATATGCTCTACTACTATGTTATCATTGCACAATAGTAACTAAGTTATTTTTGAAAATAGTTTCGATTTTAGGAGTTCTTATTCACCACAAATCAATATTTCAAATAGAAAAACTTACAATTACATTAGCAGTGTGCAACCCTCCCGCTTTTTTGCTGAATGCTCGGCAAATAATTCAACAAGAGAGCTTGAGGAACTAATTATAACTAGACTAGACTTATTAAATTAATCTTATATGCAGATTTGACTTACTTAGGTAATGATCAGGACCCTTAGAACACTTGACTTAATAAATGGTAATCTTTACGTGGGAAAACGATAGCTCATCGTATCGGATACACATAGCACAGAATCATTAATATGAGAATTCGCAGTATTGGGCTATGAGAAGAAAACGAACACTCCCTATCACTGTTGGAATAAATAAGAAGATAAACTTATACTAATCGTAATATACATTAAGGAACTGCGAAAGTTTTGTTACTTTAGAATACATTGTAAATTCCAGGACATTTAAACATAACACCCTGTATCTAGCCAGTAATCCGCATATGCCATGAAATAATAAACGTATGCCTATGACTATAACAGAGATCAAAAAAAATTTGAATTTGTTGAAAATATTTTTGTTTTTTAATTTTTGAAATTATTCTCTCGCATGTATTTTTTAGTTGCACATCCTTGTCGTGAGAACAATGGCAATTGCAATCAGATTTGTGTGCCGTTTTGGACAAAAAATTTTGCGACTGCGAAATGCATGTGTACGTCAGGATATAAATTACGGAATCGGACAGATTGCGAGCTCGTTCGATATGACAAATTTTTACTATACTCCAAGCAACGTTTGGGCAGTATCACAGGTGTACCATTAACGAATCAAGATGTTCAGCATGGAGAATATCGTGACGCAATGGTGCCAATATATAATGTTACTTGGCCACTGGGTTTGGATGTTGATGTACGGAAGAAGATGGTGTATTTCATCGAAATGAATTCGTAAGTGAAGTTTCATTAGGTTCTTGTGGAAATATTTTTGTAATATTTTTTAAGTTAGATGTTTTATAAAACCAATTCATTTCAATTTTTTACATATAGTATGGATTATAACTAATTAAGAATTTATAGTACATTTGTAAGAGCATATATTGTATACATTAGTTTGATTAATTCTGTTTTTAGGAACGCTTTACATATACAAAGTCAATCTATAGATGGTTCGGAAAGACAACTTATTGCTAAAGTATCAGAAAGTGTGTCAATTTTAGCTTACGATTGGATATCACAAAATATTTATTGGGGTGGAGTGGAAAGCATTCATGTTGCACCATTGAGCAACATGAGCAAGATCGTAAGTCTACCAATAGGCCATGAACCCATGTAAGTATTGATTGAAATAGTTTTGTTTACAATAAATATAATATAATTTTCTGTAGGTCGATAGCAATTGATCCTATCACAGGCATGTTGTATTGGTCACAATGGTACTCTTTTTCCAAGAAAGCCACTATAAACGGAGCTTGGATGGATGGCACACGCAAACAGTTATTTGCAGAGTCAACAAAAGAAATGCCAATTAAATGGCCTTTGAGTTTAAACATTGATCATCGCAGTAAAAAAATTTATTGGTAGGTTCATGCAAGTAATCAATGGATTTAAAAATTTGCTTAAACTTAAGAACGGTTTCAGGTGTGATGTTAAGGAGGGGACTATTGAACGTATGAATTATGAAGGCTTGGAACGAGTAGTTTTATTTAGAGACGAACAGTATCATCCGTTATCCATTGCCTATTATAATGGTTTTGTTTACTGGGTTGATAACAAAAATGGTACAATACGTCGTTTTAATGTACATCACGCTACCAAAAGTAATGTAAAAAATTTGTAAGTTCCGTCACAAATGAATAACAAACCAAATATATAGAAATGAATAATTTTAGTACTTCTGAGATTCATTCCAATGAACGTGGGCGGACTTCGAATTTGAAAATATTCGATTTAAACACTCAGCCACTTGTTCAAAATAACTCTTGTGCACAAACAAAATGCCCAGGTGTTTGTCTGTTTACCCCAAAAGGACCAGTTTGTCGTTGTCCCGACAAATATGTATTAAACGGCTCTAAAAATCAATGCGTTCCACAAGTTGATACACCCCAAAATTGCAGCTCTGCATTTCAATGCTCTAAATCTAAACAATGTGTTGATCGTAAAGATCTCTGCGATGGTTTCGATGATTGCGATGATGGAAGTGATGAAAGCAGTGACGTAGATGGCCCTTGCAATCCAAAAATATGTGACTTAAATCTGCATTTCGTGTGCAATAGTCGTTGCTATCAACGCGCACTTATGTGCAGTTCCATTACTTATTGCTCTGATGGTTCCGATCAAACAAATTGTGAAACCAATACTTGCAATTCGAATGAGTTTACTTGTGCTAAAAGTGGCAAATGTATACAACTATCTTGGGTAAATGATGGCGAGGTGGATTGCGGTGAGTAGAAAGATTAATAGTTAATAACTTATATTTTTTATATCAGAGGTTATTTTGTATTTTCTAAGGTCCCGATGATTCTTCCGACGAAATGTTTGAAGAGGAAAAATGCCCAGAGTTTGAATGCAAAAATAATAAGTGTCGTCCATTCTCCGATGTTTGTGATGGTGTTGATCAATGCGGGTAATATATTCTCTATACAATTTACAATACAATTTAATCAATAATTTTATTATAGCGATAATTCCGATGAACATGGATGTGAATTTGAGTGCGGTATTGGTGAAAACTATTGCGTACCAGTAGGTTGTTATAATGAAGCTACTCACAGATGTGATGGAATACATGATTGCCTGGACTTTAGTGATGAGGCAAATTGTAATGAAACCAAGAGTGATAATCATCCCATTGATTTAGGAGAAACACTAATTTGTGGTCCATTTGAATTTGGTTGCACAGATCCTTTTGAATGTATACCTGATTTCTTACGTTGCGATGGCATATCCCATTGTTTCGATAAATCAGATGAGTTTAATTGTACTCATATAAATCAATCTAAAGTTGATTTCAATGACACAATAATTAGTTGTGAAGCTCCGGACCGTGCTTGTGCAGTTTCTGGTAAATGTGTATCTATTGACCAATTGTGTGATGGTAATATTGATTGCGAAGATACTACCGATGAAGGTTTTCGTTGTGCTGACAAACTTTGTGAACAATCTCATGAATGTTCGCATTCTTGTCATAACGCACCGGAAGGTTATGTTTGCTCTTGTCCTCTGCATATGTATCTCCAACCCAATGGAAAACGATGTAGTATGCAGCATTCATGTGAGCACTGGGATACCTGTTCGCAAATATGCGAAAATACAGGAAAAGGTTACAGTTGTAAGTGCCATGAGGAATTTGCACTTCAATATGATCATTTCAGTTGCAAAAGTACTGCTGCTGATGAACCATATGTAATATTTACTAATCGTCAAGAAATACGTGGTGTGAATTTGAAAACTTCTGTAGTAAGTAATTTTTATACGGCACTTCGCAACACAATAGCGCTTGATTTCTTCTACAACAATGAATCAGTGCAAATTTTTTGGACTGATGTGATAGATGATAAAATCTATAGAGGGCATTTAGTTGGAGAAAGTTTGCGTAGAGTAGAAGCTGTTGTACACTCTGGTTTATCAACTACGGAGGGTTTAGCTGTTGATTGGATTGGGATGAATCTTTACTGGATTGATTCAAATTTAGATCAAATTGAAGCAGCTAAATTAAATGGAAGTTATCGTCGCACGCTTATTGCTGGTGAAATGGAGAGTCCACGTGCTATTGCTCTTGATCCACGTGAAGGTTTATTGTTTTGGTCCGATTGGGATGATAACTTTCCTCGTATTGAACGTTGCTCTATGGCTGGTGAATTTCGACGTACTATAGCTACAACCTCGCATATATCCGGCGGTTGGCCAAATGGCCTAACTTTGGATTACACACAAAAACGTGTATACTGGGTTGATGCCAAATCTGATTCAGTTAACACTGTCAAATATGATGGTTCAGATTATCATTTAGTGCTTACTGATAAAGATAAATTATCGCATCCATTTGCTATTTCGGTATTCGAAAATTATGTGTATTGGACTGACTGGCGTACGACGTCTGTAATACGCGCTAATAAATGGAACGGTTCGGATATACAAGTCATACAGCGAACACAAACTCAGCCATTTGGGATACAAATCCTCCATTCCAGTCGCCAGCCTCAAGCACCTAATCCCTGTGGGGATAACAACGGCGGTTGTTCACATTTGTGCCTACTGAGGTAACTATTAATTTTTAAGACTCTAGTCCAAATACAGCTGTTCTGAATTATAATTTTGAAAACTAGCAATACGAGACTCCGTACCAACATAAATCAAACTCATTACATACGGATTTGTTGCTATTTCAAATACAGAAGATTTTGTGATAATTTATATCAATTTAAAACTTTAGTACGGACTTATAACACTAGATATCTAATTCAAACTGATGCATTGGTACTATGAAGTAAAAAATTGTTGCTTTAAAAATTATTGACTATATCAACAAATTAATACAAATTACACTTTGAAAGTTTAGCTCTAATCTTTTAGGTTTTACTTCGAATTGTAAAAAATTCCAAATATTATTATATAACTTAAACCAAGATACGATTGCTTTAACGCTTCCAGACAATTTGTAATCTAACAGTTTTTAATATTAAATACATATACAGGATCTTTCACCTTTCTAATACTAAGTCGCAATTTTGAACTATTAAATATATACCTAATATTGTTTGCTCTTCTAATCTTCATTTTTTTCTTTTTAACTTTGGTTATATAAAGCACAAAGAAAACGTTCAAATGTGAGTGCCCACACGTAATGCGTTTAGATCCATCAAATAATCGTACATGTGTACCAAATGAACAAGTTTTACTCTTTATAATGGGTGATGAAATTCGTGGCATCGATCTTATGCAACCAAACCACCACACGATACCAACAATAAGACAGTCTCCGCAGGTAACCCACATATTCAAAACAAAAAAATGGGTCTATATTATTACTTATGTTTTGTAGGTATTGGCTCCTCAGCGTATTGATTTTACTGTTGACGACAATACAATTTATTGGTCTGATATACAACTGAATGAAATAAAAACAGCTGGGATATCCAACGGACTTATCGATACTATAATAAATACAGATATTCAAAAACCTTATGGATTTGCTGTCGATTGGATTACCAAATACATGTATTTCTCTAGTGGAAAATCAAAATGTCGCATATTGGCAAGCAATTTGAAAGGAGAATATGTCACTGAAATACATAAAAATTTAAATATGGTAGAGAGCATAGCATTGGATCCAGTCAAGTAAGTATAAATGCGAACTTATCTTCTAATATCGCAACGTAACACAAAAATTGTATACATTAGTGGCAAAATGTATTGGGTACATTCGGATCGAGAATCGAAATACTTTCAAATTGAACAAAGTAATTTAGATGGTTCCGGGCGTAACGTTATACATCAAAGAACAAAAAGTATCCAAAGTTTAACAATGGATTTTGATTCACACCGTTTGTACTTTGTTTACGGTCATTCCGGTATTGCTTATTATGATATTATCAAAAAAACTGTGTTGGAAACATTGGCTGCAAGTGAAGTAACGACTATTAGTTCAGTGACTGTATACAATGGTTCTTTGTATTTTGCTGAGAACATACACAGTGTGATTATGGGTTGCGAGAAGGACACCTGCCAGGATATGAAAATTCTCCGTAGTAATACAAGTAAATTTTACCAACAATTATTATATAAAATACTCCAATAATAAACCATTATCTTATGCTAAATTTTAGAAAGTATACAATCTTTAAAGATGTTCTATGCTGAAGCTCAAACAGGAACAAATACATGCGCTGGTCCACAACGTGGAGGTTGTGAACAACTGTGTTTAGCTACCTCAGCTGAGACCCATGTTTGCCGTTGCGCCATTGGATACAGTATTGATGTTATTGATCCAACCAAATGTATTGGTATACCTGAGTTTATATTTTATTCAAATCATGAACTGAAAGGAATAAATCTACCCGATCCTGACAAACCTGATTTAGCAGATTTCGAGGAGATGACGGTAAGTTTACAATAAGTCTTTAATTTTTTTTTGTCAAGTATTTATTGGTAGTATTTGTATAATTTACTATTAAAATTATAATTTTTGAGGATTATGCGTTAAAGTACAATTATACACATATATTTACAGGCTCTTGGTCCCATTTCATCTATTTCATTAGCTACTTTTATTGATTATCATGCATCTGAAGATTATTTATACTGGGGTGATACTGAACATGGTTCTATTTCACGCATCAGACGTGATGGTACACAACGGATGGATATATTAGCACCTTTAGAGACATCCGATTTAAAGCAACAGGACTGGTTAGGTGGCATAGCAGTAGATTGGGTTGCTGGCAATATATATTGGAGTGATATGAAACGCAATCTCATAGAAGTTGCACGTTTAAATGGATCCTTTCGCCATGTTGTTGTTTCAAATGTAGATAAGCCAACTGCCCTGGCTGTTGATCCCGTTCAAGGATTGCTATTTTATGCTGCGGAGTTCATTATTGGACGCACTGGCCTTGATGGCAGTCAGTCGTTTATATTAGTAAATCAGACAAACACCGTTAGCAATCTGATTTTGGACATCGATGCAACTAAAGTTTATTGGTGTGAAAGCGATACAAATACCATAATGAAAGTTGATTATGACGGTAATTTAAAAACCCCTATGCTTAATTATAGTCTAGAAAATCCAGTTGCTTTAGCGAAGTTAGACGACTACATATATTGGGCTGATAATAGTCATAACAAGGGTAGTATAAAAGTAGCTCCTATTCACAATATCTCCGACTACAAGGAAATTTTAAGATCAGAGGGTAATGCGTTAAAAGATCTGAAGGTGTTTTCGAAACGTGTTCAAAAGGGCACGAATCTCTGCGCAGAGAACAACGGTGGTTGTCATGAGCTTTGTCTATACAACGGCACTAGTGCTGTCTGCGCTTGTTCGCACAGTCGGGTTGCTAGCGATGGTGTGTCATGCGAACCTTATGAGAATTTCTTATTATTTTCCTACCGCAGCACTATAGAAAGTGTTCATATGACAGATCACACAAACAAAAACGGACCTGTGCGTGCTATCCAAAACACTACATATATGCGTAATGTTATCGCGCTGACTTACGACTATGAGAAAAATCTAATATTTTACTCAGATGTACAGATGAGTACTATAAACAAAGTATATTTTAATGGAAGTAATAATCAAGTTCTTGTAAGTCATCAAGGTCGTGTTGAAGGCTTAACTTTCGATATTGTAAATGAAATGCTGTTCTGGACTTCAAATAATGATGCCTCTATTCGAAATTTAGACTTACAGTATATACATGAAAATCCTGATAACAATACGCAATTAGTGAATAAAATTTTGGTACTTAATTCTAATGACAAACCACGCGGTATTGCTGTGGAGCCTTGCATGGGTATGATATATTGGACAAATTGGAATGAGGACACTCCTTCAATACAACGTGCTTACGTTACAGGATTTGGCGTGGAATCTATTATACGCACAGACATAAGGATGCCAAATGGTTTAACAATGGATTTTGAGGAACAGAAGCTGTATTGGGTCGACGCACGTTTGGACAAAATTGAACGAGCAAATTATGACGGTACTCATCGTACAGTGTTAGCGCATTCAACTCCTAAACATGCATTTTCAATGGCTGTTTATGGGGACTTACTTTTCTGGACCGATTGGGTCTTACATGCAGTGGTACGCGCTAATAAGTACTCTGGTGCAGATGTCGTGTTTTTGCGAGAGAATATAGGCAGACCCATGGGGATCATTGCTGTACAGAACACTACCGTCAATTGCGATTCGAATCAGTGTAAAATATTAAATGGTGGCTGTGAAGATGTTTGTATATTAAGCAAAAATGGTACTGCTAGTTGCCAATGTACGCGCGGTGTTCTTGCTCCCGATGGCCACCGTTGCTTACAAACAAAGAATACAAACTGTAGTAAAGAGCAATTTAGTTGCATTTCAGGAGAATGTGTGCCTTTGGAGTTAACCTGTGATAATATCACGCACTGTTTGGATGGCTCAGATGAATCTCGTAGCTATTGTATTTTGCGTGAATGTCCATCAAATTTCTTTATGTGTGGCAATCACCGCTGCATACCACAAAATCAAACTTGTGATAATATTCAGCAATGTGGTGATGGTTCTGATGAAACTGAGTTATTATGTAAATGCGAACCCGAAAAATTCCGATGTACCAGTGGTGAATGCATTTCTAAAAATTTTGTCTGTGATAATGTGCGAGATTGTAAGGATTTTAGTGACGAGAAACATTGCGCTCCACGCGAATGTCCTAACGGCGATGCACTGTTTGAGCACTGTGCCAACTCTACAGCTTGTTACATGCCTTCTTGGCGTTGTGATGGCGACAATGATTGCCCTGATGGTAGTGACGAACAAGATTGCGACCATATAACAAAGGTAGCTTGTGGTCCTGGGCAATTCCAGTGCTCTAACGGTCGTTGTATAAATGAAAAGTGGCGTTGCGATGGTGAAAATGATTGTAAAGATGGAGTTGGAACACTTAGTTCAGATGAGCTTGGTTGTCGCTTGCAGTGCAAACCAAATCAGTTTCGTTGTGATAACAATTGCATTCCCAGCAGTTATCAATGCGATGGTAAACCAGATTGTGAAGATGGTTCAGATGAGGGAAGTCAGTGTCCAAATCGTCAATGCCGACCACACCTCTTTCAATGCAAATCATCTGGAAGATGTATTCCACAAAGATGGGTGTGTGATGGTGAAGAAGATTGTCCCGCACCTGGCAGAGAGGATGAAGCAGAGCACTGTGCAGCTGCTTCTGTGCCACATATACCAAATTGTTCACCACCTTCTTTTCTTTGTAGTAATGGTATTTGCTTGGATCGCCGGTATGTATGCGATGGCGATCACGATTGTCCAGATGGAGAAGATGAGTATGAAAATTGTGAACCATTCCCACATGCACAAATTTGTGCGCCAGATACTGAATTTCAATGTCACGATCTTGAGTGCATAGCTAAAAACCTGACTTGTAATAGTAAACCAGACTGTGCTGATGGTTCTGACGAGGATCCACAACTGTGTAATGTTTCTCTGTGTACAGGAAATGACGATTTTCGTTGTAAAAATGGTGCTTGCGTATCTGCAGATTTACTTTGTGATGGCAGAAATGATTGCGCAGATTTCTCAGACGAAGAATTATGCAATGTTAATGAATGTGCTATTCCGGATCTTTGTGAACATGGTTGTGTCGATAAAATTATAGGCTATGAGTGCCAATGTCGCCCAGGTTACAAGCACCATAGCTCAAATCAGCATTTGTGTGATGATGTGGATGAATGCAATGAACAGCATCCATGTTCTCAGATTTGCGTTAATACTTACGGTTCATACAAATGCCTCTGTACTAAAGGTTATGAGCTTAAAGATCAACATACTTGCAAGGCTACCAGTAATGAAACTGTAAAGTTTATATTTTCCAATCGATATTATATTCGTCAAGTAGACATGCGAGGTAATGGTTCAATACTTATTCATCAACTCTCCAACTCAGTTGCATTGGATTTTGATTGGGACTCGAAATGCCTTTTTTGGTCCGATGTAAACTCGACGGTTAGTACAATTCGACGATTTTGCCCAAATGAAAACAAAATGTTAACTTTACATCAAGCAATGTTAAAAAATCCCGACGGTTTAGCTGTTGATTGGGTGGCAAAAAATTTGTATTGGTGCGACAAGGGCTTGGATACTATTGAAGTATCGAAATTGGATGGAAAATACCGACGTGTTTTGATAAACGAAAACTTGCGTGAACCGCGTGGAGTGGCTTTAGATCCATTCAACCGAAACATATACTGGTCTGATTGGGGCGATTCACCCCACATTGGCAAAGCTGGTATGGATGGGTCAAATCCTCGTGTAATTATACGTGAAAATCTTGGTTGGCCTAATGCTTTAACAATATCATTTGAAACGAATGAATTGTTTTTTGGCGATGCTCGTGAGGATATTATAGCAGTCTCAGATTTAGATGGCAAAAATGTGCGCATACTACTTGCTCGTAGCATAAATCCAAATTTAAATCTACATCATATATTCGCTATAGCAGTGTGGGAAGATAAAATTTATTGGTCTGATTGGGAAACTAAATCTATAGAATATTGTAACAAATATAATGGACATGATTGTTCAACATTGATTACTACTATACATCGACCAATGGATTTAAGAATTTATCACCCGTATCGACAACAACAACCAACAACTCCAAATCCTTGTCTCACAGCGGAATGCTCAACATTGTGTTTACTTTCACCTGAAGCACCATATTATAAATGCGCCTGTCCAAATAATTTTATTTTAGGCAAAGACGGGAAGTCATGTGTAGCCAACTGCACTGCAGCGCATTTTCAATGTGCAAACACCTACAAGTGCATACCTTTTTACTGGAAGTGTGACACACAGGATGATTGCGGTGATGGCAGCGATGAGCCCGAATCTTGCCCTGCTTTCAATTGTGAGCCAGGACAATATCAATGTGGTAATAAAAACTGTATATATCCATCGTCAATATGTGACGGCTTAAATCAATGTGGCGACTACAGTGATGAACAAAACTGTGATAAGTTCACATGCTTCGAAGGTCATATGAAATGTGAGGCGACCTCGAATTCAAGTGCATATTGTATTGATAACGTTAAACGCTGTGATGGCGTACGCGATTGTCCTAATGGTGAAGATGAGGCTGGTTGCACGCCACTAATATGTAAAAAAGGCGAATTTCAATGTGGCAATAATCGTTGCATGCCTTTTGTTTGGGTATGTGATGGTGATACTGATTGTCCAGATAAATCAGACGAAAGCAATTGCGACCATGTTTCATGCGCACCAAACGATTTTCAGTAAGTATAGTGCAGAAACGTACTAGTTTATGTCGATAAAAACTTATATATATTCTGGTTATAGGTGTAATTCTGGGCGTTGTATACCAATGTCATGGCGTTGTGATGGAGAAGATGATTGTCCAAATGGTGAAGATGAGCCGTCTACATGTCACTCATCTAAAGAAAGCTGTGATCCTACATACTTTAAGTGCAATAATACTAAATGCATACCTGGGCGCTGGCGTTGTGATTATGAGAATGATTGTGGCGACGGTAGTGATGAATTAAACTGCCAAATGCGCAACTGTTCGGAAAGCGAATTTAGGTAAAGTAATTTGATATCTACTCATAGCTACTTTAAAATTTAAATATGATATCATATCAGATGTGGCACGGGAAAATGCATAAAGCATGACTATCGTTGTGATGGCGAAATCCATTGTGATGATAGCAGTGATGAAATTAATTGCAACATCACATGTAAAGCAAACCAATTTAAGTGTGCGGCTTTCAATACTTGCATCAATAAGTAAGTAATATAAATTTGCAAAAGATTTCTTGTATAATCGAAAACTTATTACAGGCAATATAAGTGTGATGGTGATGATGATTGCCCTGATGGCTCCGATGAAGTGAATTGCACTTGTCCAGGTGATCACTTTACATGCGCTAATGGAAAATGTATTATGCTTCGTTGGAAATGCGATGGTTGGGATGATTGCACTGACGGTAGTGACGAAAATTTGGAAACATGCGCACATGTACATTGTCATGCAAATGCTTTTAAGTATGTCGCCAGCTATATCAACAACAAACATTTTATAAACTATTTCCTTTTCCTTTTAATTACCTTCCTTACAGATGCACAAATCTGAAGTGTATACGTAAATCTGCCTTATGTGATGGAGTTAACGATTGTGGTAATAATGAAGATGAATCCGATGAAGTTTGTGCAGCTTTGCCAAAATGCCGACATGACCAATTTCAATGCGAGAATGAGGATTGCATTTCAAAAATATTCCGTTGTGACGGCCAATATAATTGTATTGATGGTTCTGATGAAATGAATTGTCAACCGCCAGTCTGTGGTTTCGGTACTTGTTCTCAAATATGCATTGAAAAGAAAGCAGGCCATTATAACTGTAAATGTACTGATGGTTATCACAAAGGTCCACTAAAGAATGACACTTGCTTGTCCTCAGGTAAAATATGAAAATCAAGCAATAAATATATGAAATAATATAATTTATTTATTAAAAGGTCCGGATCAAGTTCTGTTGCTTGCATCTGAACAGGAATTCAGATTCATTTTACCAGCAAAACAGGAAGGGACTTCAGTTGTAGGCTTCTTTCAAACAGATAGCTTAAAAATTGATGTTTTTGATATACTGATACGTCCTAAGGATACATTGCTCTTCTGGATTGATTCGCATCACGGCAAAGTACATACTATGAAAATAGCTACACCACAATCAGATACAAATACACGTGTACGTAGAGACCTCAAGGAGCTAACAGCGTTTAATGTAAATATATTTATTAGCAAAATTAGTTTTATATACTGATCTCAAATTTGTAGATACCCGTTCTCAGTGATCCAAAATCTCTAGCAGTTGATTGGATTACACAAATGGTTTATATAATAGATTCGCGTCACAACCAAATTCTAGCCACTGACATTGATGGAAAGAAATATGTGTGGTTGGTGTCGACAGGAATGAATCCCACAGATATAGTACTCGAACCAGAGTCACGTATTATGATTTGGTCTACTTTAGAAAATGGAATTTTAGTGGCTTCTTTAGACGGCAGCAATAAAAAGAGTTTAGTAGAAAGCGACGTTGGCTGGCCAATAAGTTTATCTATTGATTATCCAACTGGTAGACTTTATTGGGCTGATTATCGAAAAGGTACCATCGAAACATGTCGTTTGAATGGTAAAGATCGAAATGTAGTACGAAGGTTTGCAAATAAAGGTAAGGATACAAATAATTTTATATTAAATATTTTTATTTTTTATTTATTCTTTATATTAAATTATAGAAAAACCACAAAAAATCGATGTGTTTGAGGATTATCTGTATATTAAACTGTACGACCAAAGTATTATTAAAATGAATAAGTTTGGAAACGAAAATGGCACATATCTGCTTAAGGGCTACCGTTCATCGGATATTGGAATATTACATCCGCTTAAACAAAATCGAAATGGTCAGTTGCAATATTGGAAAATTTTTATAAAATTTCATTGTTTTTATTATTTTATATAATTTAGTTACTAATCCTTGCAACAAAGAACCTTGTAAATCGAAACGCGCGCTTTGCATTTTGTCATCTGAATCTGCAGTAGGGTATTCTTGTAAGTGTCCAGATGATCTTGTTATGTTTGGTGGTGAATGCAAAGCGCACGCAGAAATACCTGACTATTGTCCACTTAAATGTAATTTGGGAACTTGCAAATTAATAAATCATGTGCCTAAATGCATATGTCAGCCACAGTTCGAAGGCGAATTTTGTGAGCATTATAGGTGTTCAGGCTATTGTTTAAATTATGGGCTTTGCACAGTGGCTCCACAAATGCCGGGTTCATTAGAACAGCCAGCATTAAAATGCAGCTGCACTCATGGTTGGTCAGGCGCACGTTGTGAAACATCCGTGCCCGAATGTCAAAGTCGTTGCCATAATGGTGGCTCCTGTTTGATAACTGAGGATGGCATGAAGTGTACTTGCCCCGAAATGTATTTTGGCGAACAGTGCGAACATTGCGTTAATCTTACATGTGCAAACGGTGGTATATGTCGTGAAACATTAACTGGAACAACGCAGTGCGAGTGCCCAGATGGGTTAGTACTGCTTATTAATTAAGTTATTGTTAGCGTGGTTATTAATACAGTTTTTACTACTTTTAGATTTACCGGTAAACGCTGCGAAGTTAATGTCTGCAATGATTTTTGTAAGAATCAAGGCACCTGCAGTATTGGTACTAAAGGCGGTCCGCAATGTCTATGCCCATCAGGCTTTTACGGCGAACGATGTGAATCAGACTCTTGCCGAAATTATTGTCACAACAATGGTACTTGTGTCGATCGTGGACAACGTTTAGTATGTACTTGTTCGGAACGATTTGTGGGCGAACGTTGCGAAACTGATCTATGCAAGACTTCTAGTCCACCCAAATGTAAATATAAAAAATATATTAGGAAAATTATATATGATTGTAATTAAACACTTATTTGACAGTTTGCGATGAATCAGAAATACCATCTCGCAATCCATGTACCGGTATTATATGCCAAAATAGTGGTACCTGTCATGTAATTAAAGGCGTAGCGATGTGCAACTGCACAGACCAGTGGAATGGCGAGTTTTGTGAGGTTAGTAATTTTGCTTTTATGTCGAATAAATTTATTTTATTTAAATACTAAATTCCCTTTTAGCGGCTAGTTACCGAAGATAATCCCTGTATAGATTACTGTGATAATGGCGGCGTTTGTCTATTAGATGCTTATACCGTACCACACTGTACGTGTATTGGCGAATGGGAGGGCAGTACTTGCAATATACCACCAAGTTGCGTTGGTGAATGTGGCGTTTGTCGCATAGGAAGCTCAATTAACGAGTGCAGGTGAGAACATTAGGTGTTGATTACTACAATTTGGAAAGTGAAAAATAAGTTTTAGTTTTGCCAGTACAAATTTATTATTACTATTTATTTTATGTTGTCTAATGGAACATTCTCAATGATTCACTTGTTTATTTCTTTAATATATTTTATTTATTTCATATTAAAAATATTTTATTTCTTTGAATTCGAAAGCGTTCATATGCAAAAGTATACAGGGCATTTGTGATTTTTAATTACAATAACTGGTTTTTTCGAAGACGATTAATTGACTACAGTTCCATTAAAAACTACAATAGTTCTATTTTTTATATATAAATTTGATCAATTTTGTAACTTTTATCGTAGTTGTTTGAATGGGAGAATTATGCCATGTGTGTCGGACAGTGCTGACGCTATTAGTAGTGAGCAGACACGTACATCAAACGTAGTATCCATACTAGCTATTGTTATGGCTGTAGCTATATTAGTGTTGGGAATTTTTGGTGGTGCTTTATACTTCTTGAAGTAAGTGTTTTAAAACTAAAGTTTTCAGCAAATTTGGATTCTTAAAAATATCTTTAATACTATATAGAAAACATCGCATATCGCAACCATTTTCCCATGCCCGACTTACCGATAATGTGGAAATTATGCTTACCAACCCAATGTATCGCGGTGATGTTGACGAGGCGCCTTCTTTCACACATGATGAGGATAAGGTAAATATTGAAATATTATAATCTAATTATTATATTGAAACTATTCAAATGCAACATTGTAGGGGAATTTTGCGAATCCTGTTTATGAATCTATGTATGCTGATGCAATAGTTGAGCAAACAGTGTCAGAGCCCTTAAGCACAGCGCCTGATGAACGCAAAGGTCTGCTGCAGCACTCTCACGATGACACCATTACCCCAGATATTCTTTGATGATTAACAACAAATGAGATTTGTTAAACATACTACATAAAAACGCACACAACTATACATAAACACAAAGGCACACAAAGATACAGAATACCCCATATTTATTGTTTATATATACATATACCTTGTGATCAAAAAAAAACTTTTTGGCCGATCCATTTGAGATGCCCAACAACACTGCAATTTCTCTAATCGGTTCACAACGATTTTCTAACACGATCTGCTTCGCCGATTCAATGTTTTCTTCAGTAACAGAAGTTGTTGGACGGCAAGGGATCTCATCATGGTCCAAGCTTGTACGACCCTCTTTGAATCTTTTAAACCATTCGTATACTCGTGGTTGCGACACACACAAATCACACTTGAATTCTTTTGCAACACAAAATTTGATGCACGCACGTTGTTGAACGATATGCGTTCAACTTTGACAGAATGTGTATACTAGTGTTGCCAGCGTGAAAATAAAAAAAATTTACCGATTGGATAAGCGCGGGAATTCAAAAATAGGCCTCTCGTTCTTTTTTGATCAGAAGGTATTAATATATAAAAGAAACAAAACTAGATGAGTAAGTTTCAATCTTTTAACATAAAAATTACTGTAAAGGACTGATAGTGTAGCAATATAAAATTTTGTTTTTAATGCGAATAATTTAAGGACATAGTTTAAGAGTATCTACATATTATTATATTTAGGATAAAAAGATAAATGCAACTATAAATATGATCTGTTCTGGCAGTGATGCGACAATGTAATGTTTTAGTTCGGCAGATTTTAATTTAAATATTTAAGATCGTAATCCCTTGCAGCTAACGTAACGAATTTATTCTGTTTTTTTATACTATTTTAGTATATTGTATGTAAATTTTATTTATAAGTAATCAATAAACAAATATATATCTGTGTCGAAAATGTGGGCATCTACCAGACGCTGTTTCAAATGGACTGAAAGTAATAGTAGTACAGGAGTGTTAACTTCACTCCTTATAGATGCAATTCCGTTATCTGTAAGCAATATTTTTAATACTCAAATTGTTTGCAGTGTTTGGTAGCTCTTTTATGAAAATAAATTATTAATACAACTTCAAAATATTATAAATCTTATGAGTCTTGCATTTGTAAATTGTAACTTATACATATACGAGTATATAAAGTTTGTTACTATTAAATTAATAATAAATCTTGTTAGTTTTATGTGCATCATATGTAACAAATATTTTGTAAATATTATAGATTTAATGTAGATTTAAAATTTTTGCACCTTAGTTAAAAGTAGTTAAATATAAATATCAAATTTTAAATATAATATTTGTTCAATGGAACTCTCTTCAAAATAGTCATCTCTTATGGTTTTTTTTGTTTTTATATCTAATATGAAAAGTGCTTACAGGACATTTATGCAAGAAAATTACACCAAATGAATGATAGACAAATGCTGTGACAATATTGGATATGGAACATAAGTTAGCCACCTATTTTCTCCGACTACTTTGTTAGTTTTGGAAGTTTTCCAACATCATCTTAGGTAGACTTAGGTAGATTGTCTGGTGAATTTATCTTGAATTATTTTGAAATAATAAAATTTAAAAATAGGATTCACTGAATAAAGGGAGTCTGTCTTTCCAGCTACTTCATTTTCTCTATGTACTAAATTAAACGCACAACATTGTTAGTAAAAAGTTTAATGAATTGTTTATGCATAAAATAATTACAATTATAATTAGTAGAAAATTAGTTTTTTTAAATTTACAAAAATGTTGTTTCAAATTTTTGATAAGACATACCAACTATTAACAATATTTAATAAATTGTTTTGAATCTATAATCACAGTTTAGTAACTATTAAATTTAATTATTATTTTTCATATTCAGTAATTGATTTATTTGTACAAATTATAATAGAACTGTTACATTTTATATTGTTTTCCAATCTATTTCTCCTGTAATTATGAAATAATAACAGCATTTTATTAAATATATAAGATTAAATTTATAATTATTTTATTTATTCCTTTATGTTAAAACTAAAAATAATTTATGTTGTGTATAATTATATATATAATTTTTTTTAATTAATGAAAAAAGAAATATTTGAAAAATTTGTAATAAACTTAATATCATAAAACAATGAAAATGTAATAAAAGAAATGTCATAAATTTTAGTTAATATAAATTCTATTGTAAATGAATAAATCTTTTTAATATATATTTTATATATTCGATTTTTATTTATTTGACTGAAGACTAATTGTTTTGCGAATTATGGAAATCATGTTCTTTTCGCTCATATCATTGAGCGAAATTTAAAAATATGAAAATGGAAGGTTGGTTCTACAATAAAGCAACAGTCAATGGTGTGGAACTCAAAAGGTGATACCTCGTTAACAAGCCAGATCTCAGGATGAAATTACGCACACGTTCCCATATACTTTTTTTACCATTTAGTGCGTTTTTGTGCTCCTTTAACCCAATTTAAAATAGTACTTAATATTTCTTTATTGATAGGTCACTGTCTGGTCGCATCACATACCCACAAACTAAACCTAATTAACAGCGATGCTTGTAGGAAATGCAACGAACCGAATGCAAAGGAAACTCTATAGCATTTGCTGTATAATTGTCCGGCTCTCTCGAGAATTTGAGCACATACCTGAGGTTTCTGTTGAAATCCTAATAAAATTCGCTAATAAAACATCCTAAGTGATGCACACAATCACTAAAATAAACCACTGATCTGGTATCGTAATGGACCTTAATGGTCACTGCGTGGCCTTTTTGGTCTGCCAGCATAATCTAGTCTAATATTCCTTTCTTCTTCTTTTTTTGACCCATTTTCATTGAGTCTGGGAGTTGTTAGAAGAACACGAAAAATTCTAGAGGGCAAGTAAGATTTCTAATATTCACAACTTACTTTTAGGTATGATTTTTCGAGGTGGATTATAATGTTTTCCAATATTTTCAAAATATGAAGATAATAATAATACTACATAATGCATAATAAAAGTAAATATACGTTCCTGTAATAAAAAAAATAAAATCAAACTTTTCTCATAAATCAATAACAGACATTTAAAAATAAATTAAAATTAAGGAAGATTAAGAAAAAATCAGTTTTCACACCACGCCCAAATGTTTTCTATTTAACTAAAAAATGAAAAAACCATTTGGTTGAAAAAACTTTCACTCCTTTACAGTTAAAATTGCTGACCAATTGAAAGGAAAATCTCTGTGCCTTGGGTTCACGCTTAGCAGGATACGCACATATGACGCCACACCAAATGCAACCATATTGCGTGAAAACTGATGTTCAGCGTATCATCCAGAAAAAAGGAAAAGTATAAACGGAAATAATATGCCACTTCCGCAGACAGCCCTTTTCGTAAGTGTGTAACTGTTGTCGTTTGAAAAATTGTTTGATTTCTCAAAAAAAATAACATGATAATCATTTAAACTCAATTAGAATCTTCAAGGATTCTTCATTTGTAGGTAATAAATTGGAAATCAAAAACTACTACAGATGTTTCCGTTTTGATTTCTTTTATTTAAAAAATATGAAAAATACACATTCTCATCTTTCTAATTTTTATACCAATTTAAGAACCAATTTAATACCAATTTGAGAAGTATATTTAGAATTTCTTTAAGAAAGGAAAATGAAGGGTTATCTGTGTCATGCGTATATTATTTTTAGGATTTCCCTCTTTTTAAATTTAAGTATCGCAATCTGTCATATTCATTTTAGAATGTTCTTAATATATAACGATATTTTTATATTAATATATTCAGAAGCACAAAATTTTACTTTTGTGGTTCTGAATGTGTATACATACTCGAAAAAGATGCGAAAAGTAGTAGAAATACAAGGATTGAGTTTTGGTATTAATTAATGTGAATGTAAGGAGCAAAAAGAACATGTACTGAAATTGAAGATTTCAATTCATGGTTTAATAAGTTCGTTTTTGGTCTTTAAGTTACTTCAGTAAGTCCATATCGTTTTTGCAGGCCTCGCATTTCTGGAACTAAATTCCAGTGAGTTTGAATTGCACTCGCATTTCTAATATTGTCTTTAACAACCTGTTAAAGGTGAATCAAGGATTCATTTCATCAATTTCTCATATTTATGGGATATGAATAGTTAAGCCATTCATATTTGTTCGTGGTATTAAAATCAGGGACTATAACAGTTATCATTGAAAAAAAAAATCAAGTTCTAACTCATATTACTCGTAGTATTTGAAAGTAAAACTCAAAAAATAATAATTAAATTTGTTAGGTATATAATTTTAACTTTTATAATTTAAAACAAATTTCAATAATTTGGTTCGTAAAATACTGATCCATATCTTCACTTCGGCCTAATAAATCAATATCCATTCAAGAGTTTAACATGAGTATGAGTAAGTATGAGTAAGATTGAGTGATTGCATAAGGTCTATTTATTTTAAATCACATATCTCAAATAATGCATTCGTATCTTTTCAACACTGAACAGGTACGTCGATTTGAATATATTTGATTGTTGTATAGAAAAGGATTTTGTTTGCTTCCTTGCTGGTATATATTTCCACTTGTGTGGGAGAATTTTTTTTTAACAGCGTGAGACTTTTTGGAAAAAATTTTGTTGTGGGAATTTATTTATTTGGGATCGCAAAGCAAATTTGCAATTTATTATAATAATAAACTCGAATTTATTTGATTTTTTTTTTTGAATTGCAGTGGTTGATGAGTATTAAATGTTCAGATGAAACATAAATTTTGGTTTTAAAGATTAGGAATGCCAAGAACAGCCGGGGTTATGTCTTGGAGCCACTCTTTACCAACAACTAACGACCACTTGTAACTCACATCGTAACTTGACTGTTCGGAATAAAAGCTTGCTGAACTGTAAGTTTTCAAAAAATACAATACGGAATTTACAAGAACTACACATATATTTTGTAAATTTTATGAAAAATTATGTTGAAGTTCTAACCAATCCTGTTATAGGCTTGTCACTGTAACACTCGCATCTCGCAGAGTGTCCATCAAAACTTGACATGTACATATTTTTTCAGATATCTTTCTTAAGACTTGCTACCTTCGTTTCTACCAAAAACCAAAAATAAAGTAGTCATCTAATACCTGACCATTTTTAATATGAACCCTAAAGAAATATCAAAATCCATTATATTTCAAGAATGACTTAGTTAGTTTTCATTTCTAAGAAAGTCTCAAAATTTTTTATAACTGCAAGTTACAATAAACTTTCGATAAACCACAAAACAAGAACTTATTTTTGTCAATATAATAATAACTAATACGTCTAATAAAATATCTCAAGAACACAGTCTCAAAAAGGACATCTTTAAAATATTCCGTTAACAAAAATTCTCCCACAGACAAAAAACAAGCAATGCACTTGTTTCATTAAGACAATTAAGTCCATTCACATAAAAAATCACAGCTACGCGCATATCCTGAGAACTATCAGAAGCAACACAAATGAAATCCTTCAGATAG